GCGTCATAATGTCAGTCCCGGTAGCCCACATATCCACTCAAACAGGCGTCATAATATCAGGCCTGGTAGCACACATATACTCCAACAGGTGTCATAATGTCAGTCCCGGTAGCCCACATATCCAATCCAACAGGCGTCATAATGTCAGTCCCGGTAGCCCACATATCCACTCAAACAGGCGTCATAATATCAGGCCCGGTAGCCCACATATCCACTCAAACAGGCGTCATAATGTCAGTCCCGGTAGCCCACATATCCACTCCAACAGGCGTCATAATGTCAGTCCCGGAAGCCCACATATCCACTCCAACAAGCGTCATAATGTCAGTCCCGGTAGCCCACGTATCCACTCCAACCGGCGTCATAATGTCAGGCCCATATATCGACTTACACAGGTAACATAATACTAACCCTTCCAGACCCATGTAACGACTCAAACGGGCACCTTTAGCCACCCATATTAACTCATAGATACACAATAAGGTCAGTCGCTATAGCCTACCCTGAAAACACTGGCAGACACTATAATTTCAATCCCTGTAGCTACCCATGTCAACACTGGCAGACACTGTAATGTCAGTCACTGTAGCCAACCATGTCAACACTTTCAGACACCATAATTTACGTCCCTTTAGTGACCCATGCCAACACTGGCAGACACTGTAATGTCAGTCCCTGTAGCCAACCATGTCAATACTGGCAGACACCATAATTTCCGTCCCTGTAGTGACCCATGCCAACACTAGGAGACACAGTAATGTCAGTCCCTGTAGCCAACCATGTCAACACTGGCAGACACCATAATTTCCGTCCATGAGGTGACCCATGCCACCACTGGCAGACACAGTAATGTCCGTCCTTGTAGCCACCCCACACAACCCCCCCCCCCCCCCCCCCAAAAAAAGAAAGAAAGAGAAAGGGAGAGAGAACGAGAGAAAGAGAAGGCGGAGGGGACAAGGCTAGAGAAGAATGTCATTGAAGGAGAGGCGTTAGATACACCAAGGCTGCATTTATTGAATGATTGCTTTAAAAAAAAAAAAAAAAGAAATGTAGATATAAGACAAGGGAATATAAAGTAAAGGATGTATTATAAAAAAAAATAGACTACATATGGAAACTTATACGTGGTTACAGAGCAATGGTTGTAGGATTTGTTTGGGTGTTTAATACCGAGAAAATGGGGCAGGTAGACACTCCGGCAAAGGGCAGAGAGACACTCTGACAAAAGGCAAATAGAGACATTGGACAAACAGCAGAGAGACACTTGGATAGAGGGCATAGAAACCATTCGACAAAGGGTAGAGAGAGACACTCCGGCAGAGGGCAGAGAGACACTCCGAAAAAGGGCAGAGTGACCCCCTCGAAAAAGGGCAGAGAGAAAATCCGGCAGAGGGCAGAGAGACACTTGGACAAAGGACAGAGAGATACTCCGACAGAGGGCATAGAAACCATTCGACAAAGGGCAGAGATACACACCGACAATGGGCAGAGAGACACTCCGACAAAGGGCAGAGAGACACTCCGGCAGAGGGCAGATAGACCCTTCGACAAAGGGCAGAGAGACATTCCGACAAGGAATGTAAGACGAAGGGGAATAAAAGCGTTCGACACAAAACTCTAAAAGCGAAATAAATCACTACCAAGTCGATATTCCAGCAAGGGACAATCATTACCCCCAAGGGACGTCACTCCCTTATAAACTTCTTTTGCTCTCCACTCCCAACCATTAGCCAGCGCATTTGATCCCCATCTCCAACCGGCGTCATAATGCCAGTCCCTGTAGCCCACATATCCACTCAAACAGGCGTCATAATGTCAGTACCGGTAGCCCACATATCCACTCAAACAGGCGTCATAATGTCAGGCCCGGTAGCCCACATATCCACCCAAACAGGCGTCATAATGTCAGTCCCGGTAGCCCACATATCCACTCAAACCGGCGTCATAATGTCAGTGCCGGTAGCCCACATATCCACTCCAACCGGCGTCATAATGTCAGTCCCGGTAGCCCACATATCCACTCCAACAGGCGTCATAATATCAGGCCCGGTAGCCCACATATCCACTCAAACAGGCGTCATAATGCCAGTCCCTGTTGCCCACATATCCACTCCAACCGGCGTCATAATGTCATTCCCGGTAGCCCACATATCCACTCAAACAGGCGTCATAATGTCAGTCCCGGTAGCCCACATATCCACTCAAACAGGCGTCATAATATCAGGCCCGGTAGCCCACATATCCACTCAAACAGGCGTCATAATGCCAGTCCCTGTAGCCCACATATCCACTCCAACAAGCGTCATAATGTCAGTCCCGGTAGCCCACATATCCACTCAAACAGGCGTCATAATATCAGGCCTGGTAGCCCACATATACTCCAACAGGTGTCATAATGTCAGTCCCGGTAGCCCACATATCCAATCCAACAGGCGTCATAATGTCAGTCCCGGAAGCCCACATATCCACTCCAACAAGCGTCATAATATCAGTCCCGGTAGCCCACGTATCCACTCCAACCGGCGTCATAATGTCAGGCCCATATATCGACTTACACAGGTAACATAATACTAACCCTTCCAGACCCATGTAACGACTCAAACGGGCACCTTTAGCCACCCATATTAACTCATAGATACACAATAAGGTCAGTCGCTATAGCCTACCCTGAAAACACTGGCAGACACTATAATTTCAATCCCTGTAGCTACCCATGTCAACACTGGCAGACACTGTAATGTCAGTCACTGTAGCCAACCATGTCAACACTTTCAGACACCATAATTTACGTCCCTTTAGTGACCCATGCCAACACTGGCAGACACTGTAATGTCAGTCCCTGTAGCCAACCATGTCAACACTGGCAGACACCATAATTTCCGTCCATGAGGGGACCCATGCCACCACTGGCAGACACAGTAATGTCCGTCCTTGTAGCCACCCCACACAACCCCCCCCCCCCGACCGTCAGCTCACCTCTCCACAGTAACGGCTATTATGAGCCAGACGGACAGATCAGAGGCCACGTATCCCAGAGTGACCAGGGGCTTGCACAGCCAGTCACTTGAGTCCTGGATGTCGTATCCCATGAGCTCTTCAACCCAAGCCGTCAGCAGTCCATTGTACAGCACGAACGTGTCGATGACGGCTAAAGAAGCTGCAAACAAACCACACACAAAAAAAATAATAATGGTGTTGGGTTGGCACTATCTTGGGTTAACGAACACAACGACTTCGTCAATTGGTCATTTTTTATTTACAAGTGTCTTTTTTTTTTTCTTTTCAAATTTTTAAGAGTGTTTTAAATGGTTCCTTCGTAAAGCTACATGTTGTAGGTTGATAACAACTTTTCGTTAATTTATAAAGCATTTACAACTCAGCTGTGATTTTATTCTAATTGGTTTTTTTTGTTGTTTTTTTGTGTTACGCTCGCTGATAAAGAATTCTTTCGGTCGTAATGTTCATTCGATTATCTACTGTCGCAACTCAGACTTTCGCGTACAACGTTCTTTCACATTCATTTTAATTTTACCTCGGACTGCGCTCTTTTTAAAAGTCGTGATGCATTCAAACCTGTGCGATTATCGCGATGTTATTTTTTAAACATATGTAAATTTATACAAATTATACACATATTGGTTTGTAAACAGGGTGCGCGATGTCAAGTTAAATAGAGGGCGTGAATTTAGTTAGTGAGAACTAGTTCAAGTCGTAACTCGTAGGTGAAATCGATAGAGGTAAGTCAGATGAAAAGAACCACGACGTTCAGTTGGCTAGCGATGCCCCGGTTGACATTGCTACTGCTGTAACAGCAGCTCTACGACTATATCACAAGGCCATAAAGTCCTGCTGGCCCCTTGGCTCTACGCTTTTATGTCAAGGCCATCAGGTCCTCCTGGCGCCTTTGGCTCTACGACTATATCTCAAGGCCATCATATCCTACGGCCCTTTGGCTCTACGACTATATTTCAATGCCATCATATCCTACGGGCCTCTTGGCTCTACGACTATATCTCAAGGCCATCATATCCTACGGGCCCCTTGGCTCTACGACTATATCTCAAGACCATCATATCCTACGGGCCCCTTGGCTCTACGGCTATATCTCAAGGCCATCATATCCTACGAGCCCCATGGCTCTACGACTATATCTCAAGGCCATCATATCCTACGGGCCCCTTGGCTCTACGACTATATCTCAAGGCCATTAGGTCCTCCTGGTCCCTTGGCTTAGATTTAGAAATCGACTACTTTATGTAGTCATAGAATTTCCCGTCACAAATTGAATCACCCTACAAACCTAGGCAGACACTTGAGACGGTGGGAGCCCTTCGGTCAGGAAATTGGCTTGCCTTTAATCCATATATGATCCAACTCTCGAAAAATGATACCTTCATTAAAGTTCGACGTTACTCCCATTGGTCAGAGGGGGGTAATAATGTCACATGATCACACGTGTCAAGCGCTTGATATGTGCATTTATATATATATTATATACTCAATTGTCTGCAATTCTGGTTTTCATGTGATTCCTACCAGTGTTCACTTCACACAACTTAGACTACCGGGGTGTGTGTTAATCTATACCTAATTTTGAAATAAACCCCAGAGACATTTTCGAACCGCGGGTTGTACATTAATTTGACGTTAGCGATACGATAGGATTACCTGAGCGAATTTCTAGTTTTAGCCATGGACCGAATTTGAAATAACACGCATGCTTGTCTGTATGATTATGTCTGGTTATGTATGATTATGTCTGGTTAAGTATGATTGATTTACAATTGTAAACTAATAGAGGGTGATTCATATAATTTTAGTCCAATGATAATCTACCTAGTACACAAAAAATTAGAAAAAATTCGTTAAAAACAAATGATAATAACATGTTAAAAATGATATATATTTTGAATGGTATAGATTACTTTAAGACATTTACGGAAATTAAGCTCTTAGATTTCTAAAACACGTGAATAGTATTTGAAATGCAATTAAAAATATTAAGAAAAGAAGATTGACCTTTACCTACGATATTGAAAGAGAACTAGGAGTAATGGACGTCCAAAAAGCATGCTTGAATTCAATACTTCATAATGATATACTTTTAAAAATATTTTTAAAGAACTGAAGAAGACCTACAATTTTATTAGGTTATGAAATCAAAGCATCATTTCTAAGTCTATACTCAAAGTAACATTAGAAAGTATGAAATTTAATAGAATTAATAGCCATTCTGAGTCCAGTTTCATATTTTTGAGAGTTAGCTGTCTGGAACATCCAATAATTCTTTAATGTCATATTCAAATAATTTTCGTCAATTTTCTTAAATAGCAAATAGACCTGAACTGATTTTTTAAAAAAAAAATATTCATATCAGTTATTTGAAGAAACGAGAAATTCAAGAGCGAGCAAAACTAATCAAGTTTTATAATTAAAAAAAAATATATAATTTTCTAACAAGAAAGTGCAATAATGATCGTGCATTCCAAATTTCACATTTGCGTTAATTCATATGCAAATCTTTCTCCTAAATTATTCTGGGAGATGATCACCTTTAAAAAAAAATATATTCCAAAAATCAAAGTGATCTGCATAGAGGGATGGAGGACGCTCTCGTGGGATTATATTTGTACATCTCACATCAGATGTTTGTCTCAACAGATTGAGTAGTGGAGCTCTCAAGACGTTACACTGGCTGTTCAAAAATTTAAAAAAAAGATATCCCTCCCCTCCTCCTCTCAGCTCACATAGTTCACCCCCTCCTCCTATCAGCTCACATAGTTCACCCCCTCCTCCTATCAGCTCACATAGTTCCCCCCTCCTCCTATCAGCTCACATAGTTCACCCCCTCCTCCTATCAGCTCACATAGTTCACCACCTCCTCCTATCATCTCACATAGTTCACCCCCTCCTCCTATCAGCTCACATAGTTCACCCCCTCCTCCTATCAGCTCACATAGTTCACCCCCTCCTCCTATCAGCTCACATAGTTCACCCCCTCCTCCTATCAGCTCACATAGTTCACCCCCTCCTCCTATCAGCTCACATAGTTCACCCCCTCCTCCTATCAGCTCACATAGTTCACCCCCTCCTCCTATCAGCTCACATAGTTCACCCCCTCCTCCTATCAGCTCACATAGTTCACCCCCTCCTCCTATCAGCTCACATAGTTCACCCCCTCCTCCTATCAGCTCACATAGTTCACCCCCTCCTCCTATCAGCTCACATAGTTCACCCCCTCCTCCTATCAGCTCACATAGTTCACCCCCTCCTCCTATCAGCTCACATAGTTCACCCCCTCCTCCTATCAGCTCACATAGTTCACCCCCTCCTCCTATCAGCTCACATAGTTCACCCCCTCCTCCTATCAGCTCACATAGTTCACCCCCTCCTCCTATCAGCTCACATAGTTCACCCCCTCCTCCTATCAGCTCACATAGTTCACCCCCTCCTCCTATCAGCTCACATAGTTCACCCCCTCCTCCTATCAGCTCACATAGTTCACCCCCTCCTCCTAATCAGCTCACATAGTTCACCCCCTCCTCCTATCATCTCAAATAGTTCACCCCCCCTCCTATCATCGCTCATATCTTTTCTTAACCCTTTGAAATGTTCCATTTAACAGGGGCGTATTTGCATTGTGAGGCCTTGCCATCTCAAAGGCGATCACTCGATCAAGGCGGCTCCTAGTTGTTTCTCGTGTTTATCTAGTTTAAGATAACATTGAAAAAAAATAACGTCTTATTTGCGCGTCTTATTTGCGCGAAGGATATTCAGGGGGAATGAATAAATGCAATTATTGACACGGTTGTTCCTGATCTGTCAAAAACTGAGATTTGGGTAGACGTATGATAAATATTTATAGCTCGATCATTTGATGATGACAGTAGAATAATATTTTCTCTTAGCGGATATCTGCAAGATCAGTAGTTATAAATTGTTATGACTGTGTAATGGCAATTTTTTTTTTTCCTTTTCTTATAAGCCGATATTCTAAGAGGTATCCCAGCCAACATATCCGCTTGGTGTTCAGTTGGGTTCACCAGCATGCAGCGTGGAGAAGAGGGGGGGGGGTGCTTACTGGCAAACATCTTAATTATGTTAATGCCATGTGGATAGATTTTTTGCCTTCTAGTTAACTGCCATGTGGCTAGACTGTGTGCCTTCTAGTTAACTGCCATGGGTCTAGACTGTGTGCCTTCTAGTTAACTGCCATGGGGCTAGACTGTGTTCCTTCTAGTTAACTGCCATGGGGCTTGACTGTGTGCCTTCTAGTTAACTGCCATGGGGCTAGACTGTGTACCCAAGCCTCTGTGTCAGATGTCAAGTTAATGACTTTTCTACGCTAACGCATTATGATTGACAATCAACCTATCATGGAGGTTTGGATAAAAGCCGGTAGTCATATAATAATTTTCTACGATTTTTAAACCTCAGAATGTGTCAAATTTATCGTTGAACCCATTTTTTAAAACAATATTTCAGCTTCAATGTATCTAGGTTCCTCGTAATTAAACACGACTGCTAACTTTTCCCTCAAATTTCCTTGAGCTAACAGCAGCAAGACTCTCGCATTATTACAACATCATATTTTCCTATTCACTTCCTTGAAACATATTATCACGTAGCAATTTTCAGCTGCCCGAAATTATCCCCGAATCATCAGCTTTACTCTTAATCCCATTTTTCCAGATTGCTGCGCGGCATCGCCTAGAAATAATCTTCTGTATATTTCTGATTTGTTTTTATTTGATTGATTTTCATAATCGTCTTGCGATTTTCTTTTTTACTCCTTCCTCGAATGCTTTTGGTAGTAGCTAATTGCGTGCTATAAATTCGTCCATGTGCATTATTATTCAAATGAAAATGATATCAAAAGTGTAGACGCTTGGATGCTGCCATATTTTTACAATTATGGAATGACTATAATATACAGGTCGGACTATAAGTTAATCTTAGCTACATACCGATAGAATTAAAACGATTAACTCACCGTGATAAAGATGGATGCCTAGAGACATGGTTAACGTTAAAACTACAAAATATACACAGATGCAGAAAGGACTGCAAAGCTAACTTATCTAGATTCAGGTAGAACTAAAAGATTAACTCAATGAGATAAAGGTAGGGCGACATTGTTCATGTACCTACATACAGTTAAAGCTAC